CAGATGCATTCAAATTATGATCAAAGCTTATAGAAAATTATATTACTTCAGATATAACGTCGCTAGAAATGTCATTCTGCAAGTTTTTTTTTTTTTTTTAAATATTTCAATATATTCTGGAAGGTTATTGATTCATCTAATAGAAATATTACAGGAAATTCAGCCTAAAATAAACTAATTTTATTCCCAAACCTGTTTTATTTCTACCGGTGACTATTTGCAAAGCAATGAATTTGGTTTACGTCAGCGTCTTCACAAGCTAAAGCCGATCAGCTTGTGAAGACGCTGATGTTTGCGTAGAAATAACTTGCATGAGACAGATTCATCTTCATTACGATATCTACAAGGTTTAATTACTATAAACAGAAATTAAAGCAAGGTGACGGACCCAATTTGTCATTTAGTATCACAGTAACGCGTAAATAAGTTAGCAAATGTAGGCATAGTGCGATAATTACCTCGCATTCGCCAGAATTTTATTTTTGTCAGATAACGTACTAGAAGAAACACTTCACAATGCTTGTAAGTACGAATAAACAAACCACAGGAATATAATATCTTCACGAGGACGTGTGGAACAGTGGAGGTATATACGAGGTGCGATCGAAAGGTTTCCAGACTGCGCGTATAACAACCCGTACACTTATCTCAGGTATTAAATTCATCCATCACCCTCGAAGTAGTTCCCCTGGGAGTGAACACAACGATCCCAGCGCCGCTGCCAAGCCTGGAAGCATCCCTGGAAATCTTTCTTTGTCAGCCTGTCAAGCACCATCTGCGATTCTGCCTGAATCTCTTCTATCGTCTCAAATCTCCTTCCCTTTAGCTGAATTTTCATCTTTGGGAAGAGGAAGAAGTCACACGGAGCTAAATCCGGTGAATAAGGAGGGTGCGGGATGACGGCCATGGTGTTTGAGGCCAAAAACTGCCGAACTTTGAGGGCGGTGTGCGCTGGCGCGTTGTCTTGATGCGTCGCATGTGGAGTTCTTCCTTTAGAATCAGCTGCCAGGTCCCATAGCCTATCCCAACAATGTCGCACAAGTCGTTGATGGTACGACGTCGATCTTTGTGAATGGCCTGCCGAATCTTCGTAACATTTTCGGGCGTTGTGCTCGAAGATGGTCGTCCAGAACGCTCGTCGTCATCGACAGAGGTTCGGCCATTTTTAAAACATGAATGCCACATAAAAGTTTGTGAACTACCCATTGCGGACTCCCCAAATGCTTGCTTTAGCATTTCATAGGTTTCCTTAGCCGTTTTGGCGAGTCTTTGGCAACATTTGATGCACACGCCATTCCGAAATCGCAGGAGGGTCGGTGTAATGCACTACCAAAACGCCCGTAACTAAGAAACAAATGCTAATTCGATGATGCCGGCTGGCACACTGATTCACTATGAATGTAGGCCGCACCCCCTAGCGGCAGAAGATTGTACTACATACGGTTCGCCCTCTATTGACACAGTCTTGAAACTTTCCGATTGCACCTCGTACATCAGCCCATGGCCCAAGAAAGACAAACAATGGAGTTCGTATGATCTGAAGCTTTCACGACTAAGTATAATGAAATCTTCTCGGGCTACCAGCCGTGTAAGGTGATTTTAATCGAGTCCTGTCTCGATTATGCCCAAATGAAAATGTAATTGAATTATTAGATTACTTCCCCAGTTTGGTTTGCATCTGTTTAGTGAGTTGAGATTAACTCAGTAAGAAGACAGTTTCGGACACCACACGAGTCATAATTTAGCAGTTACTGGCATCAAAACCGTCGCCTTCATATTTCAGTTCTCCGTTACTCGGAGTTTCTGGTTCCTCTTTTGTGCTTGTCAGAAACACGAGAGAATTAAGCCAAGGCATGCACGGATCGTGACGTGCTCTTTCTTCCAACGCCTCTTACTACTGGCCGCTTAGATAAACACTTGCTTCCAAGTGACCAAAGTTCGAATCTAAATACACAAGCCAGAGATATTCTCTAGGACAGCAGGAACCATAATCATAGCAGCCTGACAGAACTCCACAATTCATGCATGGGGACATCACACCAGACAGGAAAGTGAGAAGAGAATTTCAGATTCCCGAACACTCGGCCTCCAGTTATTAAATGGGTCCTTGTCCACGACAAAAATTCCTGCCGAAACGGTAATTCAACCGGCCGGTATACAAAACCGGGTGGCCTTGTCCACGGAGACGGCACGCGCGCGGAAAATGTTTCACTCGAGTCAAGGTGAGTCTGTGCACGGGTGAGGTAGAATGGATAAGGATGTACAGTCCAAAGATCAGGAGGAACGCCCTGATAGGAATACGATATGCGCGCGTGCGCAAGATTTCGCGGTGAGTGACGAGCTGCTACTAGCCAACCTAAAAGCATTCGTTCCACAACCACTGAAGTAAGCGTCTTAATATTCACTAAATATGTCCCTCGCCAATTTACTATGTCCGGCCTTTCAATCAGGTACTTGCGCTTACTTAGATATTTTTTCCATTTAAACCCTAAGTTATATAAAATATTTCGTAGAGAATCAACACTCCATGAAAAGTCATTTTTTTGTTTAATTATGGGCAGTAGCTTGGTACTTTCTTCTGTGTTGCGTAAAATTCATGCACAGTCCGCCTTATCACTGACATTCCTATCAGTAGGTCTAGGCCGGTGTTTCCCTGGCGTGTGTAAAGGTGACAGTGTGCCCTTCTAGTCTCTACCTTTTGACTCTCGCTGTACCTTCTTAATTAAAACCTTAGATACACTCGCGTATCTGGCTGCCCTGTCTGTTGCACGGGTCTTGCTTCCTCATCACACAGCTTCCCTGTAAATAGTTTTCCCCTGTTTACGTACACTCGACATCTTTAAATCGCCTGTGATTGAATATATATTATCGCAACACCCACAGAACACATTAAAAGTGCGCTCACTACACGCTACTCTTAACTGCTTGATGTTTTCAGTCTGTGTAGTAGCGTAAAACTCTGACGTATCACACTTCCCACCAATAGCTGCACCCTCATTGCACTAAATTATTTTTACAAAAATAAAAAGCGACGACGTAGAAGGTATTGGGTGCATCCTGTGTTGCAAGAACGATTTATATTTGGTGCATTTAGTACGCTGTTTGAAAAACTACGACAGGACGACGTTAATGTTCATTTTTCTCAGAAATGTCAAAAGAAACATATGACAAGTTACTGACAATTTTATGCATCCAGAAAGAATACTACAGACCACAAACACATGAAGAAACTTGCACGCTCTCTCAAGACCAACTGATGACTGACAGCGAGCTCGCCGGCACGTGGACACGTAGACATGTTAATGCATGTCCCACTGAGAACACGGTGCACCGTCCGGCTGCCGTCTCTACAGTGGGAATCCGGTGCTGCATCCGGCAGCCGGACCGGTAGATTTGCCGTGATGTCTCGTGGAAAAACTCTCATATGAAACAATGTATCACTACCAACCCGGTAAATCTATCGGAACGGCGGACGGCGAAAATTCTTGTCGTGGACAAGGGCCCTAAGTCAATCACAACGAACATTGTATTTTCGACAGGATTTTGTTACTGGTGTGTGTGTATCCGATTTTAAAAACTGCGACTTCAGGAATTCATGCCTCAGGGTAAAATTGCATACAATTTCTGTACTTCTCAATAACAACATTTATTAATTCACCGGGTTTCCGCGTTATACTTCATCATTGGCTAACTTAGAACTTGATACACATTCACTTCCAACCAATAACTCGTGCTGCACCCCACATCGTCAAATCAACCCTGAAATAATCATAGCCAACACTGGCTCTAGTACACGAATTAACGTTCCTTCTGCTTTGGTAATACCCACGGCGACAAGACGTAACACACGGAACAGACAATTTCAAGGTAGGCAGGTCGGTAGATATGTAAAAATAAGTCTCCCGATAAGCCACAGTGGATTTGTCTTCCTTCTAAAGATACACCTTGCCCTAACTAAACTTATGAATAAAACCTAGCCAGTGTGGAACATCTGAAAGACAAAACAAGAGAAACGATTTAAACGTGTCACTCCGGAAACATTTAAATGATCGTGTCAGATATTAAAATACAGTCTTGTTTACAATTACAAGATGCTTCTGAGACAAATATTTATAATTAATAGCAGGCCGAGAAATGCCACATGCGGACAAATACCGGAAGATTGATTTGAACGAGTGGTATTACGGCATCAACTGCGCGCTTACATTACTTTTGGTTCCTGAAATGGAATATTTCATGCGCTCAATTTAAGTTACACAGATAATACATCCCGTGCAATATGATGCAAAGAGTGAACGCTGTGAATAAAGTCTTTATTACAGCCTACAAATTATGCAAATTTACGATAGTATCGTCCGGATTTAATAAGTCATTTCCTGCCGAAGCTGGAACGGTTTTAAAAATAAAAAGATGGAACGCACACATGAGGAACTTGTCAGAAATATCATGTTAGTTGCTCCAGAACTCAGCCACTGTTCTTCTATTTCAATTAAAATTTTCCTGTGGATATCCTTGTAAACGTAAAAGGCAAAGATATCATTGGCGTTTAACAGTGACCGTCATGCTGTGCTTACATGTGGGTAAATGGTTGTTTAGTTTCCTACCCGGATGCTCTCCCAAGCACCTATTTTAAATTTAAGTGAACCGACCACATGGTTCAATGGTTGAATTTTGGTCATCTGACTGATTCCGTGTAGTCTAGCAGGTGGTACCAGCGCTTCGGAGTAACTTACTGCCTCTGACAACCATGACGTGGTATGAGGTACTCACTGTCCACGAACACGAAGGAACCTCTCATGTCCCGTCTTTAAACCTAGAATTTCTAGTATCAATTTAGCCAGCTTCGACTTATCGTAATCTTCAGGAGAACGTAATATCTGCATGAGAAATGTTGGTGATGTTGTCAGGTAACAATTCCAACATACAAAATCAGCTTTTCCACATCGTCTTGGGAACAACGCAAAACAAGTATTACTAATGCATTAATCTCTTGTTTACAGATGGCAGGGTGGTGGTACAGACTGGCGGCATTCGTTGTTGCGTTAATGTCAACGACACACTGCGCTCAGATACTGGGAATATTTCCCTTTCCAGCAAAGAGTCACCAAATAGTCCTCCTTGCCCTGACTCGGGAACTTGCCCGTCGAGGGCATCAGGTGACAGTCATCAGTCCTTTCCCAGAGAAGAAGCCCATTCCTAACTTAAAATACATTGAAGTGGAAACGTTTTTGGCAGATCACTGTAAGTTTATACAGGCAGTTGCGAACCTTGATGTCAAGTAATAGGATATAAGACTATAATTATAATTTATTTTATTCGTTTTGATAACGTTGTACGTGTTGCACATATACAACTACTAAGAATAAATATCGTTATGTACTGATATTTTGTAAGATTTGAGGTTTTCACAGCGGTGAGTATGAAGATTTCTGTCTTCTGGGTTCTTGCGCCGTGTAGTCTGGTCGATGTTAACCAACATTTCAGAGGTCATACTGCCTCCGTCATCAGGGCGCAACAACCCAGAAGACGGAAATCTTCATACTGATATTTTGTTTATAACGAGTTCTGACAGGAGATAAAGCGAATTATCTCGTTTTCTGAAATCTACTGAAGAAACAAGACGGAAGGTTGAAACGGAAAGGATTAAAGATGTCGGACGAATGTACATATGAGAAGCAAAATTATTCCGGAATATATCATTAAAATCATTAAATAAATTTATATATATATATATTGCGAAATTCTAAAATTCACATGTTTTACTACTAAACGTTAGAATATAAAAATGGTGACGTACTTTAAGTGCACCATCCTAACAACAACAACAACAATACTAACAATATGTCATTAATGTATAAGCAATAAGATATTTCACTGATTAGTGTCTCGGCTGAAATATTGAGCAAGGTGATAATATTTTGTCACTCAGATGGCTATTAATTTCTTTTTAACTATGAACTGGCATTCACAGTTTTCTCTAGCTCGATTGTTTATTTTATATTAAGACACATTTAGAAAATGCAAACAGCTCTTAACAAGATATAATAAGAAAGAACAATAAAAGTACAACGTATTTTCAAATGTGTTTTAAAAATATATTAATTCTTATAGCAAGACGGCATCAAGCGTTACTTATGCATAAAATTCTCCAATTTTTCAACAAATTATTCAAGTAGGTGTATTGAAATAATGCAATTCACTAAACTATAAAAATTTCCTTTCAAATCAGGAGCCAGAAGTGCGCAAAACACACAAGATTATTGATACTATCTTTCGCCGTGTTTTTTACTTATTACAAATTTTCATATCTTAATTTTGTATTACCATAACAGAAAGGAATATTTTGATCTGTACATCATTTTTATTACTTTTCAGTTATACCGAACGTGTTCGATATGAAAGACATGAGTACAGTTGGACATTCAAGACTTCTATGGACCACAGGTCCTGCATACTGTGTAACATTTCTCCAGCATCCACGAGTTCAGGCTCTGATACATTCCAAAGATCACCACTTCGATGCCATCATGGTGGAAGCATTTATGAACGAGTGCTTTCTAGGGTTCGCGCATAAATTCAAAGCTCCTATAATTCAGATATGCCCATTTGGAGGTACACCTTGGATGGGAGACTGGGTCGGAAATCCTAATCCCTATTCATATATTCCCGACCCATTTCTTCACTTCAGCCATTATATGACATTTTGGGAGCGTTTGGTAAATACAGTAAACGGCGTCTATTTCAGGATTGGGCAAGAGTTTTATAATATACCCAGGCAGGATTCAATTATGAGAAAGTTTTTTAATGAAACGGAACCGATACCCCCATTGTCTGAGCTTGTTCGTAACACTTCGTTACTTCTCGTCAACAATCACTTCAGCCTGAATTATCCGAGGCCACTAATGCCCAACTTGATTGAAGTTGGCGGTATGCACGTGCAGCCACCGAAAGAACTACCTCAGGTGAGATAAATCACAGTTACCTGAGACCTCACGTTACTCTCCCTATATATTTACTCAGTTCTTTATTTACATTTTAAGTAATTTCAAATCGTTACGAGACACGAATTCCCAATTCACGAAAGTTCACGTGTTCAGGTAAGTCTCATGGTTTTATTTCCCTTTTCACGAAGTTATTGCCTAAATAAAGAAGCCTTTTAGGAACGCACTTCAATTGGTGCATTTAAAACAAACAAAATACTTCAATGACTGTATTTCATAATGCGTGGTTAAGATACTGAAACTATCACGCCTTAATAAAAACTAATTTATTTTTCAGTTCACATAAGATTTGAGCTACTACTTTCATGAATATCTTCATGTTATACAGAGGACATTGCAAAATATTTATTTTTAGATACTCTGACACGGACTTATATATGAATTAAAATACTATTTGCAGATGAAGTATAACTTTAAATTTCAAAAAGAGAAACTATTTTACTTTTCATAATGAGTGTTTCCAAAATATTCTGATTCCCAATCAATGCTCTGTATTTTAATCCGGAATGGATGTCTACTGTCCTGTTGTATACCCCTGACTTTAATTCCAGTCTCGTTTACAGATGTGATACCTGTATCATACACTAAGCATCACTTTTCTAGGTTGTTTGCTAGAGAAGTCACAAGAGTATTTACGGAACTATTTATTATATAAGGGACGTCATCTTAATGGAATTATTTTGTGCCCTCATATTTGGTACAGTGCAACATTAACTTGTCTTAAAATTTGCATATTATGTTAACTTACGTTTAAAATTCAAAATAACACATTGCTGGGATTAAACTTATATTAGTATATTCATTTCATATAAATTCCTAAAATGTATACGCGGAATTTTGGATAAAATTATCCATACGTATAATATCGCCCTCACGATAAACAATTTGTATCCCCAAGAAAGTGAAACAATTTTAACGAGTATTCTGAGAGTTTATGTAGTTACTTAACTACTGGACATCCTGCTCAACAGTGGTGGACACATTATTAAGGTCTCCAACTGAATCTCAACTATAACTGGAATGCGTAGTGAAATTGAACAATAAATCACTGTACAGTCAAAAGAGTAACACGTGCCAGAATCTACATGTCACAGACATGTGGATCCATGCCGCCTTAAAGGCAAACAGACATAAGGACCTTATGACCATGAGGCAGTAACATCGAGTATCATTTCAGTAAATTCACACACCTTAAGATAATTTTACAAGCAATCCAAACACTAAATTAGCTCTTCGTTACTACTTGCAAATTGGCTGTATTTTATAACGCTCTTCGTCAGTAATAGAACGTCATGCTTTCAATCAATGTGATAAAGTATTCATATATTTTGTCTCGTTAAAGGACCTACAAAAGTACTTGGATGAATCTCCACAAGGAGTGATCTACTTCAGTATGGGTTCTGTCCTGCAAGGGTCCCTCATGCCTGAAACTGCCAGAAACGCTTTCCTCGAAGCCTTCTCTAAACTAAAGCAACGAGTGTTGTGGAAGTGGGAGATAGAATCGTTACCAGGACAACCAAGCAACGTGAAACTGGGGAAGTGGCTGCCTCAGTCAGATATTCTGGGTAAGTTACAAAGAGGCAGCGAATCCTCCTTAATCCAGTTAACACATTTATCAAATGGATTCTTGTTCACATTCCATACCTTCTGTTTCCCTCCATAATACCTTACTCTCAACATAATTCTTACTAATTACACATACATCCACACGAACGTTTCGGTAACTGAAATATTTATTCTCAAGCATTTGTTTTAGCTTAAATATTTGTTTTGGGCACAAAAATTATGTTATGCAAGTCGGATGATTGGAAGAAACACAGTAAATAATTACAATAACAATAATTAAAATATTTTGTTCTTTCTGCTGAACAGAAAATCACTTAGCCACCACGCACTGGATAGAACAATTCGGCGAGAACCACGTGCATTATGAAGCATATTTACTTTTTTCTATCATTTATCAATAAAAATTCAAAATTACGCATACAAACAAAACTGTATACATTTTAAAAACACTTCGTGCTAAACGCATTTCCACCTCATAAAGTCATCATCAATGGCGAAAACATTTTAATTCAGTCCATTAATCCGTCTATTAAAATCATAAATCAATGAGTTGTTATAAAACACTGTGCATAAAAACATATTTTATAAGACCACACCTATGTAATAGCAAACTGAACATTTATATTGCACAAGAGTCGGTGTATATTATCTAAATTGGGTCACTCATAGCAGCATAATGTCCACTGGCCGAAGACTTACTTGTGGTTTGTCGTTGTTGGTCTACGGTAAGACGTGGTTGCGCTATCCTGCCTGGATCTTTGTGAATTCCAACGTTGAGTGGGTTTCATCGTCAGTTTCAAAAGGTGTGCAGGGTTTATAATCACTATGACTATGTCGTGAACATGTTCTTTGAATCTGGTTTTAAATTCCCTACCGGTTTGGCCAATATAGACCTGCTCACAGCTAACGCATTTTAACTGATGTACCACTGTAATTGTATTTATTATGTATTCTTAAATTACATCGGTACTTTAATATATTATTGACATTGTAAGCCGCTTTAAATTAGTTTTTTAAATATATTGGTAAGTGTTCTAATGCTATTTGGAAATTACGTAAACCTGGGTTATATTTTCTTGCTTGTGGTGGGTTGGGGTGCATTGACAGGGGATTTTGTGTTTTGATTAGGTCATAGGATTTTTTGACGTCTCTTGAATTATATCCATTATTGTATATTATTTTTTAATAATCTCAGTCCAATTACCAAACTCCACTTCTGCAATTGGTATTTTATGTAATCTGTTTGCAAGAAATTTGAATGCTGCCTGTTTATGAGAATTAAGATGGTTTGATGTTTTATGTGTTACTGTGTCTGAGAATGTGTGTTTTCTGTAGATGCCCAGTTGGAATTCTCTTGTGTGTCTACGGATAATGATGTCTAAAAAGTTAATTTTATTAGTATTCCCTATTTCCGTATTGTATTTTAATTTCTTATGCATGTTATGATCGTCTAGAATGTGTTTAGCTGTGGTGAAAGATTCGTCAAATCAACTATAACGTCATGAATGTATTTTATTTGTCTCTATTTGATTATGTCTGGGTAGAATTTCTTTTCGAATTTCTGTGGTAAACTTTCGGCCACAATACTAGAAATAGGAGAGCCCATTGGAGTGACATCATCCTGAGAAACATTAATACTCAGATATTAACCAACTTTAATAAACTTCTCGTCCTTAGCTCACCCAAACGTCAAGCTCTTCATCACACACGGAGGGTTGCTGAGCAAACAGGAGGCCCTGACTCGTGGAGTGCCTTTGCTGGGAATCCCAATATATGGAGATCAGCACTTGAATATGCGAAAAGCCGTGAATTCTGGATACGGAATTCTACTGGAGTTTGAAAACATCACGACGGATTCTGTTCTTTGGGCGATAGAGTCGGCACTTCAACCCAGGTACTGTGTCAAAACGTTTCAGACGGACTCGTCAGTTACATGTAAGAAAACAATATCCAAATGACAAGGAACAACGATAATTTCAGCCCCCCATTCAATTTCGAAGATTTTCTGGCACTCAATCGGAAAAAATTCTTCTTAAAATTAATCCAAAAACCGCATTGCTGTTTCTTCCAATTGCAGCCCAGCGTGATTCCAGAACCCTGAAGAATTTCATAAGAAAACCACATAATATGCACTGTAACAAGGACACTTCCGGTTTGTTCATTTTTGCAAAATCTCCGTGTTCTTAAAGGTTCCGCGAGAACGCCCAACGCGTGTCCAGAATCTTCCGGGACCAACCACTCACACCGCTGGAGCAAGCCGTGTTCTGGACGGAGTACGTGATCAGGCACAAGGGAGCGCCTCACATGCGTTCAGCTGCACTCGACCTCGCCTGGTACCAGTACTTCCTGCTAGATGTCATCGCTGCTTTAGCATTTTCTGTCGGTTTCGTTTCTTTCATATTGTTTCTGATTTGCAGGGCAATTTTTAAGAAAGTGTGCAGTAGCACATCAACGAACAAGAGTATTACTAAACAGAAGAAACATTAACGAGTGTGATAATCAGGAAAATGCGTTTTGTTTGAGAGACCACTTCTTTATAACTTGGTATTCGTTTTTCTGTCTTGCTCTTCTATGCAGGGAGTTTTTATTTCCAATGACCTTCATGTCTACACCATCTACCACAAACATAAAACATAGGTTGGCTTATCCAAGAACCTTGGCACATGTCCGAAGTCTCTACTGAATCATTCCGTATTAAAGCAAACAGTGCTCTACCCAAAATCATCATACTATTTATTCTTTCTCTTATAGCCACACATCCCTGAGGTACACGTTTCCTACGTTGAAATTATTGTGACCAAGTCTCTGCATAATAATTAATTTCATTCTTCAGTTTTGGCAAATTGCGAAAAATTCTTAATAGTATAAATCATTATCATTTGAAAAGTTAGAAATACAATATTTAGGGTACAGCCGTTGTTTTCTCGAGGTATCTAATTTCACACAACTTATACATATATCTGCATTATGTTTAGATTTACAGACTTCGTACCATTTTCTTTAATTAGGACCCGAACTTGTGACTTTATTTAAGTAACTGCGATATTGATCCAAAACAAACAAAGGGCTGTTTTATGTGTTTAGATATTTTGAGTGGATGGACTTTCGTTTGAGTTATGAAAATTATCTTTTTTTAAATACATAAACAACAAATGTATCCTCATAATGGACGACAGTAAATCAGAAATGATTCAAAACGCATTAATATAATGATTAAGGGGATTAATATTAGCAACAAATACACACGCGGTGAAACTGTATTAATGTTTTCCACTGTAATGAAGAAAGGTCTCGTGAGTTATGTCTGGTACAGCATACTCAATTCTATGTTGATGCCCACTCCTCTGACGGCATGCCTTCCAGTGAGAAAGAGATATAGCGTAGAAATCCGATTAGAAGGAACGCTGCTCAGTGGCGGTTACTCGGACAAATCCACTGCTTTTATTAACCGTTCAGAATAACTCCAAGAGAAAAAGTATGGGACGATGTAATACAGGAGGAATACTTGCCGACCGAGCAGTACACAGCGGACCCAAGAAATAAATATAGTTCTGCCAACTGACACTAAGAGCTGCACCGTCCAGGCAGTTTTTTTTTTCCTTCTTGGAATGGAAAACAGCTGACTTTTATTTAATGCTGCTGTATCTACTAAGGTTATTATTTACAAAGCAGAGCGAACTTTTAACTGCTGCTTTGTCCCCGGGAACAAAAAGAAGCACATGTCTCAGTTAAAAAAAACTGACATATTGCACTTCATTTGAGTTATGTACTGATTTTGTAAACGTTATTGGTGAGTGCTGTTTAATGAAATAATCTATGTTTATTCTCAGACTCGTACGAAACTCACAGATATATTGAACATACTCTGTGGTCAAAATGTAAAGTTATCCCATGTTAAAGTAGATGGTACATGTAATAAAAACTGATTTTAAGAGACAAGAAGGTTGCGAAACATAATGATTATTTAATCTAAAACTTCTTGACGATGGTAAAGAGTCAATTGAATAAAATTTTTCTTGGATATTATCCATCGTCTAGTAAATATAAAACGTAAAACGACGTTTCGGAGATGGGACTCTATCTCCGTCTTCAGGTTCCTACACAGTTGGGCCCACTAGATAGAGCTAATCCCTATCTCCGAAACGTCGTTTTACGTTTTACATTTACTAGACGATGGATAATATCCAAGAAAATGTTTATTCAGTAATGACTATTGCCACTGACACGAACGAAAATATTCTTCTACCACATCATAAATTTCTAAAGGTCTGTGTTAGGTAATGTTACAGCTGCCTGAAAGCCAAAAATAATTATCATCTCTTCTCCCTTCAGCTATTCCAACTAAAATTCTGCATTCAGTTCCCACCTGCGTCGTGTCTTCCAAATGCTCCGTCTACACAGCGTCGTCTTAGGGCTGCTCCGACATTATGATATATGAAATATTTCGTCACCCTACGCGCCAAAGGAGTAATTGTGGAATATAATAATACTAAAAATGAAGATCGAGTTATATTTGAAGACTGCTGATCAAGTGTTTGTGTCCAGTCGATCCATCCGCACGGAGCATGTCTTGTCAGGGAACTGTAATAAACACAAAGTCTGTAGAGACGGAGTAATTTTTGTATCTACTACTAATACAGGAACTTGTGTGTTATTTCAGTATTCACCTAAACACGTGCTGATCAATACAACTGTACGTTCATTGGAACGGCTACGAAAAACTGACAGTCTTCAGCAAGAATATTGAGCCACCCAGAGCTCAATGTTTCGTATCTCCAGACGACGCATTAACACTGTTCTGATTCACAGTTCCAGCATCCAATTACCCAGGGC